TGATCTGCCCACCTCGGCATCCCAAAATGCTGGGATTGCAGGTGTGAGCCACCAAGCCTGGCTGAAGCCATAATTAATTTGATCAGGCGCAGTGGCTCACACCTATAATCCCAGCACTTTAGGAGGCCTAGGAAGGAGGATCATTTGAGCCCAGGAGTTTGAGACCAGCCTGGGCAACATGGTGAGACTCTTGTCTCTACAAAAATTTTAAAAATTAGCTGGGCATGGTGGTGTGTACCTGTGGTCCCAGCTACTCAGGAGGCTTAGGTGAGAGGATCACTTGAGCCTGGGAGGTTGACACTGCAGTGATCCATGATTGCACCACTACACTCTAGCCTGGGCAACAGAGTGAGACCCTCTCTAACCCCTTCCTTAAATATAGATATCTATGGTGAATGTTGGGAGCAAAAAAAGACATCAGACATTATTATAAGCTTGGAGCTTATTAAAACTTGGTAAAAACAAAAACAAAAACATTTCTCCCTGGGTAAGGTATGGATAGAACCTTACTCTACCTCAAATTACCATATTGGGTGCCACTTACAAATAATGTCTCTAAAGGTTCTGCAATCCAGTGATGTTTGTCATGTTTTACCTATCTCTAAGATTCCCAGAGGATCACAGTTATTAAGGAGAGAAGTCTTCAAAATTAAACAGGCACAGCGTGTAGCAAAATGTACAGATCTATTATAAAATCTCACTACTTCCAATTAATTGGGGAAAAGGTGATGTGAATTCATATAACTCAATTACTCCTACAGATGTAAAGGATTTCTGGCCTTTACTAAGAAAAAAAGAGAAAAGTATTCCAGAATCAATTTTAATGAACACATTTGATTTATTTGTAATTGGCATATTGTTTTAAATATTTTAAGCTTCTGAATTACCTGAAAGAAATATGCATTTTAGAATGCTTAATCAAGCCATCTGCAATTTAGTTTGCATTCATAATGGTCCCATGCCACAGGACCATTATTCACAGAAGGAGAGGAGTCAATGTCCACTGATTTCTAGGAGTTCGTAAATTTTGAATTGGTGGGATCTGAATCACACTAATTGCACTTGAGAATCTAATAGGTTTGAGTTGCAAAGACTTATGCTCTGATATTATTCAGACAGTAAAATCTTAGTTGAGAGAGGGTCTCTTCCGCAGTTTTGGGTAGATGACAACCTCTTGGAAAATGGGTGGGACCATGGTCCTCAGTCCACTGATTGCCTGATAGAATGTTTGCACTTTAGGATCTCCATTTTCTCTGTGCTCCTGAGGCAGCACACCCGATATGCTTTTGTAGAGATGAATTCCAAGGAAAACACGACCTAGACTTTATTTCAAATTACGCTCAAGATCAATACATCTCACTGATGCCCAAAAATGCCATGTTCATAATCTGCTGTTGTGATATACAACTAGGAAAAGGTAAATGTCCTGTCAACCACAATCTCTCTTTATTATTTTTAAAGAGGGCTCATTTCCATTATCAGAAGCAGATAAGGAATGCCAGCACCCATTTGTCATTCAAAACCAAGCACTTACTTAGCTGGGGAAGAATTAAAGCCATTAGGTGATGAATTTGTTTTTTTTTAAATAATGGTAATAAAGTCACAATTCAAGGTCAACAAAAATTCAAATGTAGTTCCATTGGGTAGCTAATATTTTGGATAGAATGGGAAGACCATTTCCCAACATTACCTTTGGTTTTCTAATACTTATTTTTTGCAAAAATGGAGACAAGAAACAGAAACCTAACATTTTCTCTCACCTCAAAGAGTAATCAGTTTTTATATCACCAACCTAGAGATTTTCGTGTCAATTGAAGGGAGTCTTTTCCTACCCCAGTTTTTATGTGACTAATCCTATCTCACCATATGTATAAAAGTCTGTGACATGTGAAGAATAGATGATGTGGCCAGGCACACCGGCTCATGCCTGTAATCCCAGCACTTTGGGAGGCCAAGATGGGCGGAACACCTGAGGTCAGGAGTTCAAGATCAGCCTGACCAACATGGTGAAACCCTGTCTCTACTAAAAATACAAAAATTAGCGGGTCATGGTGGTATGCACCGAAATCCCAGCTACTTGGGGGATCGAGGCAGGAGAATTGTTTGAACCCAGGAGGCGGAGGTTGCAGTGAGCTAAGATTGTGCCACTGCACTCCAGCCTGGGAGACAGAGTGAGACTCCGTCTCAAAAAAAAAAAAAAAAAGAAAGAAAGAAAAGAAAAGAAAAATAGATGACATAATGAGCAAGTGAGCTTGGGCAGCTGATTGCTGCCAGCAATTCATTCAGGGTTTATTCTGCTCACAGGTCTCTGCGTAGGAAATGCTAAAAGTGCTACTCTCCAGTTAGGGTTTCCAGACCGATAGATGTGAAGATTCCTTCTGCTTGAGTATCCTCAGGCACCTCAAAATCAAAATACGTCCCAAATCAAACTCATTTGACCCATTTACCAAAAATACTTTTCCCTGTCTCTTCTATCCCTAAATGATCCTGCCATTTATTCCTTAGGTTGAGCCATAAGAAATTGCCTTTTTTGTAGGTCATTAATGGTTGAATATTGGCAATTTCAAAAGGATCAACCTTAACAGTTGTTCAGGTTAAAAAAAAAAAAAAACCTGCTAAAATCCTTTTCATATCACTTCCCCTTCAACTCTTACAACAAGCCAATCAGGAAGGTTGGTAAATTCTGTTTTAGGCAGGTCCATTATCCATCTCTAAGGCAAGCATCAAAGCCCAAGCCAAGTTAGTGAACTGGCTTCACCAACCCTGTCCACGTTGCCATAAACCAGAGTGTCTTCTTTAAAACGCAAGTTAGAACATGCCACTTGCTGCAAAAAATCATCCAATGGCTTCCCACTGCCCTTAAGAAAAAGACTGGGCTGGGTGCTCTGGCTCATGTCTGTAATTCCAGCACTGTGGGAGGTCAAGGTGGGAGGACCGCTTGAGCCCAGGAGTATGTGACCACGCTGGCAACATAGCAAGACATCATCTCTACAAAAAAATAAAAAGAATTAGCTAGGCATGGTGGCTTACACCTGTAGTCCCAGCTACTTGTGAGGCTCAGGTGGGAGGATCACTTGAGCTCGGGAGTTGGAGGCTGCAGTGAGCCATGAATGCACCACTGCACTCCAACAGGGGCAACAGAGAGTGACCTTACCTCTTAAAAAAAAAAAAAGACAAAGATGGCTTGCTGATCTGCAAGCTCCTGTCTCTACTGACTGCTTCACTCTCATCTCACTTTCTGTTTTTTGGTTACTATGACGTTCTTTTATTTTCTTAAACATGGCCCTTCCCACCTTAGGGCCTTTGTATATACTGTTCCATCTGCCTGGAACCCTCTTTTCTCTCATGACCCCCAAGGCCCTTGTCACCTAGTAACCCTTACTTCTCCTTTATTAATGTCTCTGCATAAATGCCACTGCTGGGCAGGCATGGTTAGGAGGCCAAGGCAAGAGGATCACTTAAGTGCAGGAGTTCAAGATCAGCCTGAGCAATATAGCAAGACCCCATCTCTACAAAAAAAGATATGCCACTGCCTCAAGAGAACCTTCTATGATCTCTCTCAGACCAGGATGGAACCCCATGTTACATACATCCATGAGACTATCTCCTCTTAGTACTGGTCATACTTCTAATTGTTTGTTCAAGGCCCTACTAGACTCAAGCTCCAAGGAAACAGGATCACGGCTGTCTTATTACCATGTCACCATCACTGAGCCAGGGCCCAGCACCCTAATGGGCACTCAACAAATATCTATGGAAGGCACGAATCCCTCACAAAATTTAGAGCAGCAACTGACAGTTCAAAGTTGCCATCCCTGCATAATATTATTCTCACTTTTGATATATCTTTTTTCTACTTAATATTTTATTTTTATTATTTGATTTTTAAAATTGTATTTATTTATTTACTTTCTTGAGACAGGGTCTCCCTCTGTCACGTAGGCTGGAGTGTGATGGTGCGATCATGGCTCACTGCAGCCTCAACCTCTTGAGCTCAGATGATCCTCCCACCTCAGCCTCCCAAGTAACTGGGACTACAGGCATGCACCACCATGCCCAGCTAATTTTTTTTTTTTTTCTGAGATGGAGTTTCACTCTTGTTGCCCAGCCTGGAGTGCAGTGGCATGATCTTGGCTCACTGTAACCTCTGCCTCCTGGGTTCAAGCGATTCTCTTGCCTCAGCCTCCTGAGTAGCTGGGATTACAGGCACACACTACCACGCCTGGCTAATTTTTGTATTTTTAGTAGAGACAGGGTTTCACCATGTTGGCCAGGCTGGTCTTGAACTCCTGACCTCAGGTGATTCACCCGCCTCAGCCTCGCAAAGTGCTGGGATTATAAACGTGAACCACCGCCCCCCGCCTAATTTTTGTATTTTTTGTAGAGATGGGATTTTGCCATGTTGCCCAGGCTGGTCTCAAGCTCCTGTGCTCAAGCCATCAGCCTGCCTTGGCCTCCCAAAGTACTGGGATTATAAGTGTGAGCCACCTTGCTGGCCTCAATATTTTAAAAAAGGAAACAAAAACATGCAATTTAAAAATTAATTAAACTAAAAGACTAAACCAAAATTCTGGGCCCTTTTGGAATGATAGCCTAGCACGGCCATAACTAGTAGTTGTTATTGTTATAAGAGAAATAACAATAATCAAAGCTAATATTTATTGAGGGCCAGCTATGTGCCAAGCCTATGGATAAAACTGAAGTTAGTGAAGTTGGGGGATTTAACAAGGTTCCCAGGGGCCAGTAAATGATGGAGCCATAGTCACAAAGACCAATGATCCAAGACAGGATATGAATGCTCACAGTCCCTCAGTCTTTCAGTATGACAACCTCCAGAACACAGGGATCCTCTCTACATGTTGCAGACTTAGAGCATCAGCTCCAGAATCCAAGAGACACACGTTTTCAGCGGTTAAGTTAAATGTGTCTACACACATCTCAGCTAATTTTACCTTATTTCCAAGAGCAAGTTACATCTTATTAAAAACAGGTGTTCCTACCGGAAGAAAGAGTCTCTGGGCAGCACAGGGTTTGAACAATTTCTTCCACTCCTGAGGGTTTCCAACAGAAAATGTGATGGAGTAGATTCTGTGCTCAAACTTCTTTGTATATGAGTCAGGCCACTGGCGCAACTGAAAAACATGGAAAGCAAGGGAAGGGTGATTAGGCCCCGGGAAATACGGAAAACACCTGGGAAGCTTCTGGATGGTCAAATGGAAATTATTCAGGCAACTTACACAGAAAGTCTAACTTCATCACCACTACGAATGTTCACTAAATGAAAGAGTATTTACTCCTGCTAAAATTGCTAAGATTTTTTGAAATAACATTCAGAGTTGGCAACAGTGTTGAGAAACTGCAGAGGTGAGTATAGATGTGAACAAACTTCCAAAAGGGCAACTTGGAAACTGGTAACAACACCCCAAAAGACGGAGGTACAAGGACATTCACCACAACCTAGTTTGTGATAACAAAACTTATGAACTTAGCAGCTTGGAAGGAGGAAAAAATCCCAGCAAACTTGGGAACAATCAAAATGTTCAATGATAAGGAATTGGGACAATTAAGTATGATAGAACTACATAATAAAGTACAGGTAGAGGGACCAGAGGTGGTAGTTCATGCCTGTAATCCCAGCACTTTGGGAGGCTGAGGCGGGTGGATCTCTTCAGGCCAGAAGTTCAAGACGAGCCTGGCCAACACAGCAAAACCCTATCCCTGCTAAAAAACACAAAAATCAGCTGGGCGTGGTGGCACATGCCTGTAGTCCCAGCTACTCGGGAGGCTGACACACGCAAATTGCTTGAACCAGGGAGGCAGAGGTTGCAGTGAGATCCTGCCACTGCACTCCAGCCTGGGTGACACAGCGAGACTGTCTCAAAAAAATAAAATTAAATTAAATTAAAAAATAAACATAGAATAATGTCCAGTTAGAATAAAGTAGATGTCTTTTGTGTTATTTGTGGCAGGCTGGATTTGGCTCTTGTACTCCCATAGTTTGCTGACCTCAGTTCTATATCCTTGTCACTAATGACTGCATTGCATTCTGTTATGCAGATAGGTACTGACATGGAAAATGGTTATAACATATAGTTCGGTTTTGGAAAAAGCAAAGTGCAAAAAAATTATAATATGGTTCTTTTTTTTTTTTTAATTTCTTCACTACTCTCTGAATGAATGGTTCTGTCCTATAGGAAAAAATATATGCATGAGGCCAGGCGTAGTGGCTCACACCTGTAATCCCAGCACTTTGGGAGGCCCAGGCAGGTGGATCACTTGAGGTCAGGAGTTTGAGACCAGACTGGCCAACATGGCAAAATCCCATCTCTACTAAAAATACAAAAATTAGCTGGCGTGGTGGTGGGCGCCTGTAATCCCAGCTACTTCAGGAGGCTGAGGCAGGAGAATCACTTGAACCTGGGAGGCAGAGGTGGAGGTTGCAGTGTGTTGAGATCGTGCCACTGCACTCCAGTCTGAGGGTCAAAGCAAGACTCTAAAATATATACATATACACACACATACACATAGACACACACATATGCATGTACATTTTATATGTAGAGAAAAATCTACACGGATATGCACTGAATTATTAAAAGTGGGCACCTCTATAGCTGGTGATGGTGGTTTCGTTTCCTCAGGCTACATTTCCATATTCTTTAGAACTTTTATAATAAGTATATATTACTTTCTTTGCATATATTAATTTTATAACAAAATTTTTAAAATACACTTTTAGATTTTAGAGCAGTTTAAT